CTTTAGATGTTTTGCTGAGCATTAAGAATGTATTCTTAGGCTAGGGCATGGTGGCTAATGCCTGTAATCCAGCACTTTGGGAGGCTGAGGTGGCGTGGACTACTTGATGGTCAAGGAATTCAAGACCAGCGCTGGCCCAACTGCATTGGCGAACGAACCTCGTCTCTACTAAACATACAAAAAGAAAAATTCTAGCCCAGGCATGTGGGTGCCAGCGTGTAATCTCGCGTACTCAGGAGACTGCGCCAAAGGGAGGTTTTCTGAACCCAGGGAGGCGGTAAGTTGCGGCTGAGGCTTGAGATCGGCAACCATTGCAACTCCAGCCGGGTTGCTGAGCAAAACTCTGTCGTCAAAATTAACAATTAAAAATAGAATAAATAAACAAATAAATAAATCAAATAAAGAAATGTTATCTTTGTTTTGTTTTGTTTTTTGAGGATGGAGTCTCACTTCTGTCGTCAGGCCGGAGGCGCAGGTGGACGATCTCGCTCACTGAAAACATCTCCTGCTGGGTTCAGGCAATTATTCCTGCCTCAGCCTCGCGAGGCAGCTGGGGACACAGGGCGCCACCCATTGCCTGCGGGCTACTTTTTGTATTTCTTTCTAGTAGGAATACAGGTTTCACGAGGCTGGTTATTTTCTACAGTGCTGCTGTACATCAGAATATTGTCTGATTTATTATTAAACAAAACACATCCTAAAGCAAGACCACTTGGTTCTTAGCTCTTTTTCTCCTCCTTGGGTTTTCTGGATCTATTCTTTTTCTTTTACTAGAATTCTCTCTCTGTCCCTCTCTTTCTTTTTAATTTAATTTAATTTAATTTGTAGAGGCGGAGTCTTGCTCTGACATCGAGGCTGGAGTGCAGTGGCACAATCATAGCTTACTGTAGCCTCAAACTCCTGGCCTCAGACAATCCTGCCACTTCAGCCTCCCTAGTAGCTAGGACTACGTGAGCACACCACCGCACCTGGCTAAAGAATTCTCTCTCTCTCTCTCTCTTTTTTTTTAAATGTAAAAGTTCCTAGCCTTTCTTGCCATTTTCCTGATCTGGACCTTTTTCTACCCATTATCCTGATGAACATAATAAAAGAGTCTGGAGCCAAATAGAACAGTATAGAATATTTTTTGGACTTTGCAAGAGAAAGCCGGACCTGTTAAGTATATTATTGTTTTATTCTGGTTACATTCCCTCATACTAAAGAATTGTGATCCCAATACTCCTCTTTTAGGATTTGATGAATATGTTTATATTCGTCTTTTCATTGCTTAAAAAAAGCATTTTAGAAACTTAGAGAACATGTGAAATTTTATTTCAGACTTGCTGCCAGGGATTAAAATGAACCAGGCCAATTCAAAGATTCCTTTCTTGGTGGAGACATTTATAGGAAAACAAGAATGGTTAGATAAACAAGAAAAGAATAACTTGTTAAAGATCTTTAGACTTTGCAACTGTCAGATGAGTAAGTAGATAAGTTCCCAGAAGAGTTTGCTTAAGCTTGTTAAAATTTATCCAAAATGGATTATGCTTTTTACCAAGGTATATTAATTTCTTCCCAGAAAGCATTTATGAAAGTATCTCTTGGCCGGGTGCGGTGGTTCACGCTTGTAATCTCAGCACTTTGGGAGGCCGAGGCAGGCAGATCACGAGGCCGGGAGATCGAGACCATCCTGGCTAACATGGTGAAACCCTGTCTCTACTAAAAATACAAAAAATTAGCTGGGCATGGTGGCGGGCGCCTGTAGTCCCAGCTACTCGGGAGGTTAAGGCAGGAGAATGGCGTGAACCTGGGAGGCGGAGCTTGCAGTGAGCCAAGATAGTGCCACTACACTCTAGCCTGGGCAACAAAGCAAGACTCTGTCTTAAAAAAAAAAAGAAAATATCACTCAAAAAGTTCTGTTCTAGACAGTGTTGGGGACAAATCTTTCTTTACACCATACTCTATTTTATATCATATCTGTCTCTTTAGGTTCTGCCTCCATGCCTTTGCTCATGTTATTCCCCTGTCTTGGAAGGCTTTTGTCTTATTTCTACTTCTTACTTACTCAGTCCTTAAGGATTAGGCTTTATCTTTTCTATCAAGTCTTTGGTGATTTCTTCAGCCTTCCGTTGTATCTACTTCTCTTGTACCTTTCTTGTAACACACAAAGAGTTCCTTGAAATAATGTTCAATGAAATTGGCTTGAAATAATATGGTAGACATAATAACATTATGAAAAGAACTGAGTGTACAAAAAGATATAAACAGCTGAAAAGTACTTTTATTTTCACTCAAACTATCTGTAGTTATATTATTATAATAAATGTTATAGCTTTTATTCTGTTTCTGTGTGTTTGCTCATCTGTAATAGAGAGACTGAATTTGGTCTCTAGTGTTCCACTCAACACTGAGATGCTGTGGTTAACTAAGAATTTTGTTCACCTTTTTAAATTTGAAGGGGCATTTTTGGTGTGGGGAAGTTACTTATATGACTTATGTAACTAAAACAAACCAACAAAGTGTTTTCATGGTGTTGGAGTGTGATGGTGTGTAATCACTTACTTATTCTTCTACTTCAACCAATTGAAAAATAGATAATGGAGAACAGAAGAGAATGAAACCTTCAATTTTATTGAGTATAAAACCAGATGAGGGGAAGAAAACTCTATATGGGAATACCTAGGTACAACCTGAGTACTAAAGATAAAGAACTTTGTACTTTATCTTCCTCATAATACTCTTCTAGCAGACTTGGGCCAGCTAACATCTGTCTAGTTATAGCCCAAGAAGCTAGAACAGAGATCTGAGTAATCTTAGATTTCTTCTGTTTATGGATGCAGGCAGGTTCAAGAGGCCTGTTCTGCTTTTGTGTCTTATCTACTGGTAATGCCACTACTTCAACAAAGAGGTGACATCTGGAAGAAGATAGAAATTATTCTACAGCAGGGCTCCCCAAACCCCAGGCCAAAGACTGATTCTGATTAGGAACTGGGCTGCACAGCAGGAGGTGAGCAGTGAGTGAGTGAGTGAATGAGTGAGTGAGTGAGTGAGCAAGCAAGCGAAACTTCATCAGTATTTACAGCTGCTCCCCATTACTTGTGTTACTGCTTGAGCTCCATCTCCTGTCAGGTCAGCGGCAACCTTAGATTCTGATAGGAGCATGAACCCTATTGTGAACTGTGTGTGAGAGAGATCTAGGTTGTGTGGTGCTTATGAAAATCTAATGCCTGATGATCTGTCACCTTTTCCCATCACCCCCAGATGGGACTGTCTAGTTGCAGGAAAAGAAGCTCAGGGCTCCCACTGATTCTACATTATGATGAGTTGTATAATTATTACATATTGCAATGTAATAATAATAGAAATAAAGTGCATAATAAATGTAATGCACCTGAATCATCCTAAAATCATCCTCCCATCTCAGCCCATGGGAAAATTGTCTTCCATGAAACTGGTCTCTGGTACTATAAAGGTTGGGGACCAGGGGTCTAGACCATCTACAAATTTCACCTTATTAAATAGATGACTAGATCTCCTAAACTGTGCCCAGCAAATCGTTTGCCATGACTTGTAGAAAAGAAACAACAGAGGAGCTAGGC